AAGGTGCTTAGCCAAGACATCTTTAGCTGATTTGAGTTGTTCACAGAGGAACAAGAGGCAGGAGTCTGAGTTTTGTCCACCCTTGGCTTAGAATTCTAAAAAGGAAACAAGGAGCCTGATGGCTTGGGTGGCGATGGTGACTGGAATCATATGGAGGCCAGCTAGGAAGGTACCACTTGAGGGTGGTTTGCCACAGGGTCAGACACTCTGCGTGGAAACTTCCTTCTAAGTAGGAACCTCCTTCCTCCATCTTACTGGGGAGCCCACACCCCACAACTCAACACTGAGGACCTGGCTGAGCACTGAGAAAGGGGTTGGTGCCCTGGGCCCCATGCCTAGAATCTGACAGCAGTCTGGGCCCCTTGCTGGGTGTGTCTCTTCCAGGAGCCACATTCCCCCATCAGGAGCCAGGGAGTTAGCTGGGGAGGGAGGGGAGTTTGTCAAAGTTCAGCACACTTAGGAATGTTGGCCAGGCAATCTCCCATCAGGGGAGGTTGTCTGTCTCTTAAATAAAAGCCTTCAAAGGATATATCTGATGTCGAGGAGGCTCTGAGAAACATTACTGGCCAAGACACCCAGAATATATCTGGACCTGACTGGAATGTGGTCAGTGGGTCACAAGGCAGATGACATACCCATTTTTCTATCCTACCACCATTTCCAAAACCAGAGCCACCACCACAGCCACTGACCAACTCCCTGCATCTGTGCAAAAGCCTCTACTAAAACCCTCATGACCACCAGCACCACCCACCCCAGCCACCCCCAGAACACCACCCTCACATGCCCAAACTGCCAAAACCACCTGAATTCACTCAGAAGGGAGTACTAGGTTACATGTGAGGTACTCCAAGCCCTCCCCGCAACTGCAGTAGGGAGAGAAGGGAGTGAAGCAGAAGTCTAGACGTGTGTGGAAGGACCACCATGGAGGAGCTCTCATGCAGGGGACACTGGTGTGCTCACACACAGGAACGTTAAGTGCCATGGGACTGGCCTCGGGGGCCGCCAGTCCTTCTGTTAGTGAGTCCACACCACCTAATGGCAACTCGGGACTCTGAGCAATCAGGTGACACTGTTGGAGAAACCCAAAGAGGGGGCGATAAGGCACCTGCCCTTAGGAACATGTCATATTGTAGAAAAACTGGAGTGGATGTCCACTTAGTTAGCAGAGCCAAGGAGTCAAGCCAGAGCAAGATGAAGACCATCGTGGGCGATGATTGCGTATCTGGAGGGAGTAGATAGAGACTAGGGAGGTTGGTTCGAGAGGCATTTAGAGAAGTATAGTCTCTTGAGCAATAATTTGAGAAAGAAGGGACATGACATGCTGGAGAGGGGAAGGCAATGTATAAAAAGCAGAAGGCGATAGTTTTGTGGAAACTGCAGCGGTAACAATATTTGTACTGGCATGTACATTATTCACAAGCACTTTCATCTCACATTGTCTCAGCTCATCCTCCTAACAGCCCTGTGGGGGGAGCACCCTTGTCATCATATCCAGATGAGATAGTCCTTGAAGATAGATGAAACTTCCAGAGGAGAAGACGTGGGGGAAGGGCCTCCAGGCAGAGGGAACTGTGTGAATGAAGGCATAAGAGATGAAGAAACACTGACTGTGGGGACGGAGTTAGTGAAGGGTTTCCACATGCAGAGTGAGGTCTGAGGACCATTCATCAATTGATGGACCATTCATCATTTTGGGCCATTACAAATGATGCCGCCATGAACACTTGTGTACACATCTTGGTGTGAACAAATGTTTTCATTTCTTTGGGGTATATATACCTAGGGAGTGGAATTTGCTAGATCATATGGCTATGGTGAACCATTTGGGGACCTACTAGATTGTTTCCAAAGCAGCAGCACAATTTTACATTTTCTACCGGGTTTCTGGCTCTACAGTTTTTAATTGGATTTGACCAATGGGAGACTGGGAGGCACATTACTTTATAGACATCAGAGGGTGGAGCAGAGTGAGGATGGGGTATTTATTTCCTGCAGGTTGCCATAAACCAGCTACACCCCACTACTGAAGGCCAGAGCTCTGGTCAACGACCCACCAAGAATTGCTGGGGGGTCTCCACCAAACGATGGGCCCCAGGATCTGCTCATATCTCCCTCCCTTGACTTTTTTTTTTAAATTGGGGTAAGATGTACACAACATAAAGCTTACAACTTAAATCACTTTTAAGTGTTCAGTTCAGTGGCATTAAGTACATTCACACTGCTGTGCAGCCATCTCCCCCATCCATCTCCAGAACTTTTCCATCTTCCTGAAAAGGAAGATTATTCAAGGCCCTTCTCCTCTCTACGGCTCTAGTGGGCAGGACTCCCCCACGTGGCTTCCCTGAGCACTGCACTGTGCCTTGTGATTCCCCTAACCCCTGCCCACACACCTTTGTAAAACTTTTTTAAACTTTTTATTTATTTTTAACTGGAAGGTAATTGCTTTATAATATTATGTAGGTTTCTGCCATACATCAACATGAGTCAGCCATAGGTATATATATGTTCCCTCCATCTTGAACCTCCTTCCCACCTCCCACCCCATCCCACCCCTCTAGGTTGTCACAGAGCACCTGATTTAAGGTCCCTGCATCATCTCTTCATTAAACTATCCTCAGTTTACTCGAGCGTACCATTTATCTCCTGCCTCACCTGGCACAACCATTCTCTGAGGCAGTGCCTAAAATTAACATCTCCATCCTATGAATGAGAAAACCAAGGCAGGGGGAGGCTGAAAACTTGCCCAAGGTCCTCACCTAGTGAGGGGAGGACTAGGATTTAGACTCCACCATCTGACTCCAGGATAGCTGAGATAAAAGGAGAGGTGACAGAAAACAAGTGACAAACATGGTCACCCCTGGGCAGGTAAAGAGTCCCAACTGACCAGAGGATGGAGCTGGGATTAGGAGGTTGGTGGGGCCTCCAGAGAGGCTGCTTAGCACCTGGGAAGAGGGGAGCAAGACAGTCAAGCCCAGTTGGCAGTGTGCTGAGCCAGAAGAGCATCTCCTGCGGGGGAGACCATGCCGCAGCCAGTGACTGCCCTGTCTTCCTTGGATTGACCTGGGCAGTCAGCTGAGAGGGGCTGAGCTCCACGGGCCAAGGGTGAGGCTGCTCTGGGAGTGAAGGTGTCCCAACCTGCTGCAGGCCAGAGCTCTGTGGCCCTGCTGAGTAGCAGGCTGGGTGTGACCGGTGTGACCAAATGGATTTATTCCATCGTGAGAAGATTCCTAGGGTTGCCTCCCTCCATGACACTGCCCGAGAGTGCTGGCATAAAAGCAGAGGTCAGGCAGTGGAGAGAGGAGGATGGCCAGGACTAAAGAAACGGCTGGGGTGCACTGCAGCCAGGGCTGGAGGAAAGAAGAGAGGGGTTCCAGGCCTGAGATGTGCCCCCTGCTCAGTTGGCTGGCTTAACTGGCCGCCTCCTTCCTGCTCCTGAAATTCAGCACCATCTACTGGGAAAGGAACCACCTTCCTCCTGGTCCCTTCTCCTTCCCCATCCTTGGAAACCTGTGGCAACTAAGCTTTCAGCTGCACCCAGCAATGCTGCTCCAGGTAGGGAATCTGTCCTGAGTTGTAGGCCCTCCGGAGGGGTGGGCTCATGGGCCCTCTCCCTCAGCCCAGGGACACTAGAAGTAAGGAACTGGGCTCAGACACACATCAGGGTGAATCCTGCTCCTGCCGTTCACTTGCTTTATGGCCTCGAGCCTTGGTTTCCTCATCTATTCAGTGCAGGGTTGTTGAGGGACTGCAAACACTGACTATAAGGACTTTTTTGCCCAGAGCTCACCCAAGAGGATTCTGAGGCAGAGTTCCACAGCCAATCTAACACTATTTCACCAGAATCTGCTCCAGGGGGCGCTGTTTGTGGCTGGAAGCCATTTTCTGAAAAGCCACTTGGGTTGGGAACTGGGGAGATTGGGACCCCCAAGGGTACACTCAAGTAACGCTGTGGTACTAAGGCCCTTTCCAGGTTGGGTGGATCCCATCAGTAGGAGGGCTTCTGTTGCAAGGAGAAGGGTTTGAAATTCAGGCCAAAACTGATTTATTGCTGAGAACTAGAGTTCAGTTCAGTTCAGTTTAGTCGCTCAGTTGTGTCCGATTCTTTGCGACTCCATGAACTACAGCATGCCAGGCTTCCCTGTCCATCACCAGCTCCTGGAGCCTACTCAAACTCCTGTCCATTGAGTCGGTGATGCCATCCAACCATCTCATCCTCTGTCATCCCTTTCTCCTCCCGCCTTCAATCTTTCCCAGCATCAGTGTCTTTTCAAATGAGTCAGTTCTTCACAACAGGTGGTCAAAGTATTGGAGCTTCACCTTCAGCATCAGTCCTTCCAACGAATACTTCCAATGAGAACTAGAGGGCTGGAGACAATTCCCTTCTCCATGACAACGCTCAGCTTTTATCGATGATAACTGAGTATTTAAAATTCTGGTTTAAGATATGAGATGACCATGATTCCCAGGCTCCCCAAAAAGCACTGCACTGAGAGTCATGGGGCCTGGGTGTGAGGTTCTGGTCTTTTGCTTCTTTATTGGCCTCCATTTTCTTTTCTTTTTCCTCTTCTTTTTTTAATTGGCTGTGCTGAGCAGCTTGTGGGATCTTCATTCCCCCACCAGGAATTGAACGGCCCCCAGCAGTGAGAGCATGGAGTCCTAGCCACAGGACCATCAGGGAATTCCCTGGCCTCCACTGCCATAAAATAAAGATAAAGATACATACCTCATACCCACACTGATGGTGTGCTAAAGCTAAAGTAACCTGTGTAAAGGCCACACTGGACACTAAGCTGTGGAGAAAGTATAGTGATAATTTAATACCATTTGTGAAATGAGTGGAATATACCCAACTCCCAGGGTCGTTGAGGTTCAACGATCAGACACCATGTGTGTAAGTCCTGGGCCCTGACTATGCTAAGCCCACAGGGAGCCTGTGACATGATCCCCGCTGGCACTAGTGCCAACTGTGGGAACCCGGGGTTTGGCTTGTCTGATGAATGGGTGGCGAGCGCTCTGAGAAGGTGAGTACTGGGTGTGAGAAGGGGGTTCATGCCAAAAGGAAGGTGCTGGGAATGTGGTCAGGTGAGCTTTCTCTGCAGCCTGGGATCCGGTCTCTCCGCAGCTGGCCCAGACTCACAGCCACGTGTTCACAGTGTGGGTGGGCCCCGCGCCAGTGGTGGTGCTGAGCGGCTTCCAGGTGGTGAAGAAAGCCCTGGTCTCCCACTCAGAGAAGCTCTCAGGCCGGCCCCTCACCCCACTCTTCCGGGACCTAGTTGGAGAAAGAGGCAAGGCTGCCCTCCCTGCTGGGGACGGGGTGGCTGGGTGGGGACTGCACACGGGGCTCCAGTGGGGTGACCCAGAATTGTTGACATGGAGGAACCTTCCGGGAGGACTCGGGTCTCCTCAGATAACCCTGTGCGAGGGGAGGGGGTGGCGTGGGGAGGAACCAGCTCCGGGGCTTAAAAAGACCCGGGTCAAGTCTCAGCTCTGCTCCAGATGAGGCACTCACTCTCTGTCCCTCAGTGTACCCGTCTGTTAGATGGGGAGACTGACTGCTCTCGCCTCCCAGGGACAGGGTTGGGGGGAGGTTAAGTGAGCCACACAGCCAAAGGTGCCCACTACAGCACCTGGCTCAGCGAACGCCCTCCGCCCCCTGTCTCCCCTCCAGGCCCTGTCCTCCCTTCCCTTCTTTATCTCCTCCTCCAGTTCCTATGGGGACTCTTAAAGGCAAAATCAGGTTGGCAGCCTGGGAGGAGGGCACGGCTGAGCCCACCCGGACGGCACCAGGCTCACGACCCCACGAGCCGCAGATGCCCCTCACTGGCCGGCCGGCCAGCCAGAGCACCACCCCAGAGCTGACTGGGAAGGCCGCCGGGGTCTGCCCTCCCCACCGGGGTGCGGGCGGGGCGGCCTTGGCCAGGGAGCCTGGGAGGGACTGCTGGATGTGCCACACCCCCGGTCCAGGGGTCATCTGCAGCAATGGGCACACATTTGGCGGCAGTAGAGATGCTTCTGCCTGGCCACGCTGCGGGGGCTGGGCCGAGGCCCACTGGCGCTGGAGCTGAGGCTGCAGGAAGAGGCGGCAGAGCTGGTCGAGGCCTTCCACCGGGAACAGGGTGAGGAGTGGCCTGGACAGCCCCCCAATCCCCATAGCACACAGCACACTCCTGCAGGGAGGCTGAACCGTGTGTGTGTGGTGTGTGTGTGTGTGCACGCGCGGCAAGTGTGGAGGAGTGGACCCTTTGCAGGTCCAGGAGGGGACTTATGCTACATCAGTAAATCGGAAATTTCTATAGTGTGGGCAGGTGGGTGGACACAGGCCCAGAATGTCCAGTCCTTGGGGAAGCCCGAAGCCCTTCTCTCCAGATGGGGAAATGTCCTCCCCCCAACATCTCGGGCCTTTTACAGCACAAACCCTTTGCACATGCTCTTCCTCCTCTAGAATATCCTAATCCACACCCCTTCCCTCCCTGTGAGAAACCCCAGCTCCTCTCAGACCTGGCTGACATAATCTGCCAAGCAGTCCTCCCTGAATCCCAGGTCCCTGCATCCTTTGCTCCCAGCTGGGACACACCTGCCCCACATTCTAATGTGTTTAAAGTGGTGTGTGTCTCCCACCCCTCTCCTTGCAAACCCATCACCTGTATCACCAAGCCTGGCCCATAGATGGTGCTCAGTGATCATTTTCTGAGTGAACAACTGAGGACTGAGAATGAATGAATAATGCAATGAGCAGCTGTATACAGACTGGAGGAGTGCTCAGGGCAGAGCTCTCTGCCTCTTCACCCTGAGCCCTGCCCCTCTGCTCTCAGGTGGACCCTTTGACCCTCAGGCACCCATTGTCTTCCCGGCTTTGCTGGTGGCTCAGATGGTAAAGCGTCTGCCTACAATGCAGGAAACCTGGGTTTAATCCCTGGGTTGGGAAGATCTCCTGGAGAAGGAAATGGCAACCCACTCCAGTATTCTTGCCTGGAAAATCCCATGGATGGTGGAGCCTGTTAGGCTACAGTCCATGGGGTTGCAAAGAGTTGGACACGACTGAGTGACTTCACTTTCTTTTCACCCATTGTCAGATCCACAGCCAAAGCCGTTGGGGCCCTTGTGTTCAGCCGCCACTTCCTCTCGGAGGATCCCTTCTTCCAGGAACTGATTCAAACCATCAACTTTGGCCTGGCCTTTGTCAGCACCATTTGGTGCCGGTTAAGGTGGTGCTCAAGGAGGCAGGTGTGCGGGTCATTGGACCCCTGGGGGTCCGATACGGGCAGGGGCCTCAGCCAGGGCATAACCGGGTGAGTGTCACTTAGGCAGGGGGAGAGTCACAGGGCCTGTTTCTGGGTTCCTTCTGGGATGCCCACATCAGAAGTCTCAGCCCCCTTCAGCATCCCCAGCAATGTTCTCAGTTCCGCTGACTCAGTGCTGGCACCTGAGCGGCCCCTGGACGGGCCTCTTACCCCACAGCTAAACGACCTGTTCCCCTGGGGCTTCTGCTGCCTGCCTGGCCCCTACCAGGAGATGTTTAGGTACCAGAAGGCTGTGTGGGGCTATATCCACCGGGAGCTCAGCAGGCACAAACTCAGGACATCTGAGGCCCGCAAGGACTTCATCAGCTACTACCTGGCCCAGGTCATCAAGGCGGGCCTGAGAGGGCTGCAGAGGGCCAGATGTGGGGGGGAGGGCCGGCGCAGGGGGAGGGGCCGGGTGGGGGGAGGTATGGAGGGGCAGTCTTCCCAGCTGCATCTCGTTTCAAAGCCATGGCCTCAGTTCCTCACCCTGGCCTCAAATCTTTCAGAGCATGCCAAAGCAGCAGCCGTTTGGGTTTTTCCTCCTTTCTCCCAGGCTAGCACTGGCTCCTGCTGACATGGGTAGGGTGGGAAGCAGGGGACCTAGCTGATGTCAGAGCCAGCACTCCTGGGGGCAGTTCCCTCTACCCAGAGAATTCTGGTCAGAAGTCTAGGGACTGGCCAGGCTTCGCTCAGGGAGACCCCAGGTCTCTGTTAAAGGAGAGCTTCAGACCTGGAGCGGCTCTCCCCACCACCTACCCATTAGGCCACGGACAACCCTGTCTCCACATTCAATAAAGAGAACCTGATCCAGGTGGTGGTCAACCTGTTTCTGGAAGGCAGACACCACGGCCACCACTCTGTACTGGGAGCTCATCTACATGGTCCAACATGGAGCCATCCAGGGTAAGGGGGCCAATGGGTACACCCTACAGACTGCCCTGGGCTGTGGGCCTCTGGGCTGAAGGCACCAGCCCCTGTCACTGGCTTTGGTCTGTAGCCCTGGGAGGCGGGCCCTATTCTGACCCCGGTGATGTGGGAAATGTTCATGGCTTTGAATCAGAAGGGGGAGGGGATTTCTATTCCTGGCTACTCAATGAGTGATCCTGGGTAAGTGATTCAACCACTTAAAACCAGTGTGAGATGAGGTGGTATTATTTCACTCATTCAGTACTGATTCAGCAGCTCTAAGTGCCAGGCCCTGTGTTAATGCCCACTCAAGATCACAAAGAAAATGTGGCTAGAGTTCTCTCAGGGACCGACTAGCCATGACCTAAGTTCACATCCTGGTTCCACCAGTTTTGTGACCTTCAGCAGAGTACCTGTCTGGTTGAAGCCTCAATTTTCCTGTCTGTAAAATGGAGAAGACAGTTCCTACTCCATAGGACTCCTTGCATATAGGAAACCTGGTACACAGTGGGTAATCACATATGAATCCTTCTCCTTCACTTGGAACCGCTGGAGAAGCAAACCCTGGAAAATCTTGTTCAGGAGCTCTGCCTTAGAGAGGGCCTGTCACTGTTGGGAACAAGGGTGGCTGAGTGAGATGGGGCGACCTAAGGGCCCCGAGCCTCCGCAGTTATCTCCGGGTGTGGACCAGGACCGTGGGGAGACTGAGCTGCAGCACCGTCCTGGGACCCACGCGGAGCTGCCGGCAGAGAGGGTGCTGCAGGAACTGGACGCAGTGCTAGGCACCTCCAGAGCCATCCGCTGTGAGGACCGCGGCGACTGCTCTACACCTGCGCTGTCCTCCAGGAGACGCAGCGCCTCAGCAGCGTCGTGACGGTGGGCAGCCGTGCGCCAGTGCGTGACCTCCATTCGCGTGCACGGCCACCCTATGCCCAAGGTAGGTGGCCCCCGTGTGACCTCACGACGGATTCAGCGCCTGCAGAACGCACCTTTTGCGGGGCAGCCACCCGCTCCAGCTTCTGCCTGTCTGTCGGCTGTCAATCATCCATACATCCATCTCTATGTCATTCCAGACAAGAGGGTTAGGATTGTGAAAGAATATACTCATTTAGGGATATTTTTAAATGTTCTGTACTGTTCAGAAGTAACCCCTGCACATATTTTAATGTTCTTCTCTCCAATCTTTTCTGTCCACATTTTTTAAATGTATCTATGATTATGCGGAATATGTAATTCTAAATCCTTTATGTCATGACCATTGAGTTGGTGATGCCATCCAACCATCTCATCCTCTGTCGTTCCTTTCTCCTTTTGCCTTTGATCTTTCCCAGCATCAGGGTCTTTTCTAATGAGTTGGCTCTTCGCATCAGGTAGCAAAGTATTGGAACTTCAGCTTCATCAGCAGTCCTTCCACTGAATATTCAGGGTTGAGTTCCTTTAAGATTGATTGATCTCCTTGCAGTCCAGGGGATTCTCAAGAGTCTTCTCCAGCACTACAGTTTGAAGGCATCACTTCTTCAGTGCTCAGCCTTCTTTACTGTCCAACTCTCATATCTGTATGTGATTACTAGAAAAACCATAGCTTTGACTATACAGACCTTTGTCGGCAAAGTAATGTCTTTGCTTTTTAATATACTGTCTAGGTTTGTCATAGATTTCCTTCCAAGGAGCAAGCATCTTTTAATTTCATGGCTGCAATCACCATCCTCAGTGATTTTAGAGGTTAAAAGGACAAGTACTGAATAAGGAGAGATAGAGAAATAAAGTTAAAAACTATTTAGGTCAAAAACAGCTACTGTATATGTACATAAACTTGAGTCTGAGCTACCTTGGGTCAAGGCAAAAGAGGAAATCCAAATTAGTTATGCCTCTCGTGTAATTAAAGCAAGCATACCCGTATGAGGAAAACTTTGGCTTATCACCCTCCAAGAAGTTATTATGAAGGTCATCATTCATAACACACTTTTGAAGGCCAGTAGACAATATATATTGAGTTGTGCCTTAAGTAGGAGTTGTTAAAAGATACAGGAATATTTTTCCAAATGGTAGCTTCTTACCTCTAACTCATTTTAAATGATGAAAGTTGACATGAATACATTTTTGTATGGAGTAAAAAAAAAAGATAGAGTTGAGGTTTATAGCTCTCTGGTGATCCAACTTGAGACAGGTTTCTGACATGAAATGGGTTCTAATAATTTCTAATAACTAATAACCTGCTCTCTGCCAAGCCTCATTGTGTTAAGGGATTTGTGTCCACTACAGCATTCAGTCTTCACAATGACTGACTACTATGCAGATCCTAATTAAAAGATGTTTATTAAATTAACTGTCTACCTCTCTTTGCATGCTCATTGCTTCAGTCTGTTCGACTCTTTGTGACCCCATGGACTATAGCCCACCATGCTCCTCTATCCCCGGGATTCTCTAGGCAAGAATACTGGAGTGGGTTGCCATGCCCTCTTCCAGAGGATCTTCCTAACCCAGGGATTGAACCTGTGTCTCTTATATCTCCTGTATTGACAGGTGGATTCTTTACCACTAGCACCACCTGGGAAGCCTACCTCTCTTGTTATGTAATAAATTACCCCCAAACTTAGCAACTTACAACAACAGCATTTCTGAGAGTCAGAGATCTGAGTGTCTGTGGGTCAGGGGCCTAGGTGCTGCTTAGCTGGATGGCTCTGATTCGGTATCTCTCATGATGCTATGATGAAGTTGTTGGCTGCAGCTGCAGTCTTCCCTGAAGGCTCCATAGGGAGGTCCCACATCTTCAGGATTCAGTTGATTCTGCGCAGTTGGCTGGAGGCTGCCCTCAGTTTCTTGACAATGGGAATCTACAGAGTTTCTTGACAGTTTCTTGACATTGGGAATCTACAGAGGGGAACTCCATTAGAGCAAGTGAGAAGACAGAAGCCTTAGTCTTTTTGTAACCTAATCTCACATGATATCATGACTTTTGCCATATTCTATTTGCCAGAAGTAAGTCACTAGAGCCAGCCCACCCTCAAGCAGAGAAGGTTTTACGGGGAGTGGATGCCAGGTACCAAGAATCATTTGGGGAGTGGGGTGTCATTTTAAAGAAGCACAGATGGTAAGGTTGCCGATTTTAATGATGATGTGGCAGAGTCTCTCATCTTGGCACCCAGTGCATGGAGGTGATGGCCAGAGCCCCAAGCCTTCCCTCAGAAAGGGGCTTTGGCTCAGCACTGATGCTGCAGCCTGTTCTTGCTAGAAGCCTTGATGGTACAAGATGGTACACCATGGAAATGATGGCTAGAGAGAAGGTATGGGAACCCAATCTTCTCCATCATGAGATTCTTTGTTCAACTCTTACAACCGTGGTTCAGGGCAGATTTGATTGCAAGGGCCTGGCAGGATGTGATCATTAAATTCTTATTAATTTGATCAAACTTGAGATCCCTGCCTCCATACATTTTCTTCTTCATAATAATCCTGTCCTTTTGATGTTGTTGCTATTGTTATTCTTTTTTAAAACAGATAGCTGATGAGAGCTCATGTAACTGCCCTGAACACACAGTTAGTAAGAAACTTAACTGAGTTTAATTCATGTCCTTCTGATTCCAACTTTTTTTTTGTCCTTTTTATCATACTCCCTGCCATTCATATTGTTCCCAAAATCCCATTTTAGTAAAGTTAATGAGCCAGCATGTTGGATGGAGATGCTTTGCATTGTCTATTGTTCTGTTAGGGTGGCTAATACTGAACAATCCTTGGCAGTATTTGACCATCAGGTTCAGAGATTAAATGTCTCCTGGATTGTAAGGATAGGACCATGTCATCAACTCATTCTGCTGTTAAGTCTGGTAGGAGGCCCCAGGCCCTGGTGGTCTAAGAGTTATACCAAATTAGGTCAAGTTGAAAAAGAGGGAACTAGAGTTCAGCTCTGTTTTATGCCATCTGGGATTAGAAATTTCCTTATTAATAGCCCATTCTTGCCAATTGATTCTAGGAGTTTTTTCTGTAATAAGAGCTCCAGGGAACCATTAACAGCCTGGAATCAATATCCAGCTTTCCCAGCTTGGGCAAGAGATGTCTCCTGAAAGTAGAATCAAAGCTTGACAGTAGATCATTAAATGTTACAGATATTCCTAAACTGTTCTTAACCATTCCAACAGTCAAGGGACAGTGACAACAGCAATGGTCCTTAATACAGAGGTGGCACTTCAAGCCCATTTCCTCAGACATTCTATTTGATTATAAACTCCAAGCTGCCATTTACAGGGAAGAAGTTGGGCTAGAGTCCCCAGGAGGTACCCAGCAGGCAGATGGTTCTATAATTTGGAGGAGAGGGAGGGTTGCCTTTGTTGAGTACTGGCTATGTCTGAGCCAGTCCCACGAGTTAAGGTCGCTCAGTCACTTTGCAAGAAGTCCAAAACATCACCCAGAACAGGACATAAATAACTCTGAAGGGAAAAGAGCATCTTGCCCAGAGCCTTTGCATCCAAAGGAGATTGTTAAGAACTGCCGTAATGCAGAGGTTTCTTTATCCCAGGGAGGGAAAACAGAGTGTGGGGTGGAAGTCCCAGGACGATAACTAGGAAACAGCTTGCTCAGGCAGCCGCAGGAACATGTGCTTCCCATTTAAAAGCCTCTGCCTAAAGCCGTGGAGGGAAGAGGCCTGGGTGCCTGTCGGTCTGGATGGCTAGGGTCAGGCCCCTCCCTTTAGGCTTCAGTAGATCAACTAAAAAAAGAGGGGAGAGGGCTTCTGAAAGGATACACGTTATCTGTTTTCTGCATTCCTCATTGGCTTCTCTTTGATGTGCAGGCTTCAAACGGCTGGGGTTTTGTCTTTAATTTCAAGATGTCTTTGTCAAAACCAAGAATCATGTAGCCAGTTCTCTAGTCCCCCAGGGGTGACCAATTTGATTCTCTGGTGTTGGTTAAGGAGCCGCAGAATAAGAGGCCTGCTTCAGAGCCCTGGGGCTGTGTGTCCCAGGTCCCGGAGCCACAGCAAACCCCTTCCTGGCTCCCCTTGGGCCTCTTGCTCAGCCCAGGGCCTGCGAGGTATGGAGCAGAAGTCACCAACAGGAGACGAGGGCTCCTATCTGCTCCCATCTGATCAGTCTGATTCTCTTTCCAGTCACTCACTTCTCTGCGATAGAGTGAGGGCTTGGGTTAGGGTTAGAGGTCACCCTCTCCTCTCCCTAATTCTAAGGAGTGAAACTTTCTGTCTCTTCTTCTCTCTCTGCCTCCTTAAGTCAGTCTCCCTCACGCTTTGTCTGTCTGCCATTCCATTTCTCCTCTCTCTCTCACGCACACGCAGTCTCTGTCACACACACCACCACTGTTTGTTGCCCTGCGCAGGACTTGGTCCCCTCTGGTCATGCCCACCAGCCACTGGCCCTCTTCCTCGGAGGCAGGAACTGTGTCTCTAGCCCAGGCTGGGAGTCTTTAGGATGGAGGTGGGTGCCCCTTAGCCAAGAGAGTAATGCCCAGCAACCTCACTGCTGTCAGGGTCTCTCTGCTGAATCTCTTTGGGGCTCCCTGGCCCTAGACGACTCTAACCTGTACACCTAGTATTCTCTGAGCTCATGTCAGCCCAGCATCAGGGTTGGGTGCTGGGTCAACTAAGCTCCTTGAGCTACACAAGCTCGTCTCTGCAGGGCACCATCCTATTGCCCAACCTGGCTTCTGTGCTCTGTGACCCTGAGTGTTGGGAGACCCCCTGACAGTTCAACCCTGGCCACTTCCTAGACAAGGATGGAAACTTCGTGGTCAAGGAAGTCTTCCTGCCATTCTCTGCAGGTATGGGGTGTAGCACTGTTCGTGGGTGGTGGGTGTGATGGGACAACTGCAGGACTACCTGCTACCTCATGACCTTTCCTTCTGCTTCCAGGGCATCGGGTGTGCCTA